CGCCAGGAGAAGCTTAATAGACGGGGTTATGGGACCAAATTCTGGGGAACAGCTAGGTAAACACGTTTCCGCGGCAACGTACACTAACGTAACAACAGAAGAACTGTGTTTTCTATGTGGTCCGTGCTGAAAATTTATAACCAGGACAGCTGGAGTTTTCAGTTGGATTCTGCACGAGAGACTGTGAAGACAGGAACTGTGCGCGTGAAGCTGAAGAATGTCCACTGTTGCCAGGGAACGGCTGATGAAGACACAGCAGGCTGGCAAAGGCTTAGCAGGTGCTATGGTGATTTGTGAATTGTGGAGATTAGCGGGGGAGGTGCAAGTGCTTGTATTTCCGAGTCGTGTGTACAGGTGGTCAATAAATCCATTCACCAATCCACGCCCCGTCTACAGTTACACTCCTGCTTACTTGCTTACTCATGGAGCTGAGCCCTTCTTGAGGAGAAGCCAAATCTGCAGTTACTCAAGAATTTCCCAGCATTTTATAGAACCCAAAGGTTCATTACCGTGTTCACAAGAGCCTTTCATTAGTCGCTATCCTGAGCTAGATCAATCCAATCCATTCCATCCCATCCTATCTCTTTCAGATTAATTTTAATATTGTCCACCCACCTACGCCTTGGTCTTCCCAGTGGTCTCTTTCTTTCTTTCTTTCTTTCTTTCTTTCTGGCTTTCCCACCAATATACTATATGCATTCCTCTTCTCTCCGTTTCGTGCTACATGACCTGCCGACCTCATCCTCCTTGACTTGACCATTCTAATTATACTTGGAGAAGAGTACATATTATGAAGCTCCTCATTATGCAGTTTTCTCAAACCTCCTGTCACTTCATCTTTCTTCGGTCCAAATATTCTCCTCAACACCGTGTTCTCAAACACCCTCAGTCTCTGTTCCTCCCTTAACGTTAGAGACCAAGTTTCACACCCATACAGAACCACAGGCAAAATTATAGTTTTCCAATAACACTTTCCTTAGTATTATTCAGAATTCCTAAAATTTCATTCCCAGAATCTGGCAAATTAGACCTTCTAAATACTAGTGAAATTCTAAATGGCGCTCCCGTTGATCTGAGCCAACAGTCTACTGAGGCACATCAGGGCGCGGTGTTGCACTGCGGCTGTCCGCCCCGAACGCTGTTGCCGTCTCCTGGTAACCAAAGGTGGGCAAACGAATGCTCTTAATAAAGGAGAACTGTTCTCCCGGATATCTTCAGCAGCTGATCACAGTAGCCGCACGATCTTTGTATTAACTGTCTTCGCTCGTTCGACCCCTGAAATCGTCGGATCGAATCTCACTTGAGGCTTGCATGCGTTTATTATATGTAGGTAGCAGCCTTGGGACGGGCTGATCCCCCGTCCAAGGTGTCCTACCGACGGTGTACAGGATCAAGTAACTGTAAAATCAGCTAAGGTCCACACGGGCTCTGGAGCCCACGGCAGGTGGACTAACAGACAGACAGATCTAAACAAGAATAGACGTGCCATTATTGCTAAGTTGGTAACCTTAAATTTATCCATATAACCTTTCTTACGTCAGCAGGACAGACCCATTTATTTCGTGGTTAGTTAAAACGGTGGGTAAAACATTCATAACAGCTAGACACAGTAAGAGGAACTAACCATCAACATAGGACACATCCCACAAACTGAACTTGCGGAAGGAAACAGCAGTTTCATCAGCAATTTTAGAGACAACTGAAGATGACAAATGTTGGCCGAAACATGTAGTGTGCATACACCAGTGATATAGAAGAGATTTTAACGTTTAAAACTTTTAAAGTTTTTAAAAAGCAAGTTGCATGCGAGGTGGCTAATAGGAATAAAGAACAGATACATTTTTCCATTTGCTTAATTAATGGAACAAACATATTATGAAGATGTATACGGGGGTGGAGACGTAGCTCCGCTGAAAGACAACCGACGTTTCGGATGAACATCACCTCCATCTTCAGGGTCGAATAATCCGGAAAAGACACCAGCCTGAAAGCAGGTGTCCAGCTCGCCACAAGATAGTACTCTTCAAATTCAATATACACGTACATTCCATTTAAAGGGAGACAGGAGCGATGCTAGCAACGGCGCGATGTGAACTGCAACACGATATGCTACGAAAATATTAACAGAGATAGTGGAAATGTTTTCGGAGAGAATAATAGCAACAAGATGTAACAAACAGACAGCATGTTGATCTCTCCCTTGTACTGCGGCCACATCTGGCCTATTGTACCAGCCCCAGATGATAGGTGAGGGTGATTGTGGAGCAATTGCTGGAATGAAGATTGGCAGGGGAAACCGAAGTTCTCGGAGAAAACCTGCCCCAGCGCCACTCTGTCCACCATAAATCCCACTTGACCAGACCTGGGATCGAACCCGGGCTGCCGCGGTGGGAAGCCAGCGACTAACCGCTTGAGCTATGGCCGATCACAACGACCACGCGGTCCAAGGCATGAAGTCTCGTCACGCGCTGAAAAATTGGAGTCATGAGTTCTAATCCCACTCGAGGTATCAATGTTTGTCTGAGTTTATTTTGTGTTTGTGTTGTCCTGTGTATGTAACGGCCTTACGCCGGGCTGATCCCCAGTACAAGGAATCCTACCGACTGTCTATATGATTAAGAAACACTTAAAACTGAAGTCAAGTTTCATCATGGAATGTGGAGCCCACAGAGCAGAGCGTACATCTTTTATAACGCATTATTAGTTGGCATGAGAGTGCACACACGCAATTAGGTAATAAGGTCAGCTTAAAGAGAATTCATACGTCAAATGCACTACCACAGGAACTCATGAAACCTCCTGACACGAGAAGCAGTGGGTGGTTCTTTTGTAACAGGCGAATGAAAGCAAATGGAACTCTCTAAAATATTGCATTGTCAGAGAGCTCTATCCTCAGAGAGGAACTTCGAGTGCAATGATAAACGCTGCACCATTTTCTTCCTGTTACAGTTAAAACTTCACTGTTTGGATGTAGAACAAAACAAAATGATTTCTTGCTTTCTGCAAATGCATAAGAAGACTTTGGTGGTGTTAATATCAGAAATAAATAACTGAAACACCTAAAACATTCCAATAAAAATTNGCATTATTGTGTTTTCCTCCAGTGTTTGCCTGTAATTTGACTTTGACTTTATAATGTGTTTGTTTATAATGTAATTACTTGTATCTACACTGTGCTCTGTCTGTAATTGGCCTTGCGGCTATTGACTCGGCACATAAATAATAAAGAATTGAATTGAATTATCATCACCATAATTATATACGTTAATATATCTGTGGGTTGTGCATCGGCACGCCGGCCCTACCTTCATGTAATTCTAGTAGCACAGAGACGCCGTGTAAGTAGGTCATTATGAGGTCATAGCATGAACTCGGATACAAATGACACAAATTAATGTAAGATTTGAGGCTTTCACGGCGGTGACTATGAAGAAAGCAGTCTTCTGGGATTTGGCACCGTGTATATGTGGTGTTAACCGACGTTTCGGAGGAACGTATCGCCTCCATCTTCAGGGTAGAAGGAAAAATATAAGAAATCCGCAGGCGAAGAGACCGTGAGAACCGCCCGGTGGTGTGTGCTTGGATAAGCTCGTGGACATGGAACAAACTTCGTCAGAGCTGGTGAATACGTAAATACACTACGGAATCAAAATCCTGTAATACATGTAACTACATTTCTGGCAGAGTGGACTGTTTGCTTCGTCTAAACTGAAGCTTTTCTGAAAGCGTATAAACGTTTACGTTTGTCTGTTGCTAGAAAGGCGACAAATATATACTACGTTGCCAAACATACGAACATCAGTTTCTTTTCTTCTGCGCAGCTGTTAAAGATGATGTTGCTATTTACTGTAACTGCTTTCAGCAGACGTCTCATGTACAATGTTATCGTGTTTCTACAAATGGTATTATCTAGCAAGCAATCTGAGATAAAATAAAAATAATAATTTGTTCTATCGTTTGACTATGTTGTTTCATCTACTTTAACTCTCTAATCCCGCACATGTTGAAGGCCTCAAACTTGGTCCTTCATCCTTTATCAAACCACTGATATTGAGATACGGTGCTTTCAACTTCTGGTTCCGACACCTCATGACTCGAGGTACGCGGGTTCAAACCCGGCGGAGGTCGTGGAATTTTTAAGGGCGGAAAACTTCAGGGAACAAGTCCTCCCGGAGGGACTTTAAGCCGTGGGTCCCGTGTCGTGGCTTTACGACACGTAAAAGAACCTCATGTCCCAAGGGGACCACTGAGCCAAATTGATTGGCCATTTCCCGCCCAACAGTAGTCTCTAACACCTCTGATAGATGGGAGAAGCTTCGAGAGATACTGCTGAGCCAGTAGAGGCCGAACTCGCTGGCACGTACCAGTATCGGTAGGGTATAGAGATTGGTAGAATATCACAGAGGGGACGTACAATAGACCACTGGTCGCGGTGCATGGGGAAACCCACCCCTCCAATAATAATAATAATAATAATAAATATGGTTCCGACTGTTGTGTATAATGCTCAAAATTACCGGTTTTGGGAATTCGTTCAGCATCCTATATTCTAAAAGCTAGGAAAAAAACGTTTCGGGAACTGGATCCGTTTCCGTTCTCAGAAGAGGAGGGAAGACAGCTACCCTGTTATGTGTCTTAGAAAGAGCTAACCTCAGTCACTCAACCCAGTGATTGTGGTCAGCTCTTTCTAAGGAACCTAACAGAGGACGGAAACATATCCAGTTTTCAAAACGGTTTCTTCTAGTTTCTAGGACAACGAATGATGAACAAACTCCAAACACCCGGTAATTCTAACATGTTTGGTGGGGGAAAAAACGTGCAAGGCAACGATTAAATTTTCATATCCTGACATCCGGAAATACAGTCACAGAGATATATTGTTAGAGTGCGTATATTAGCAGGAAACATTCTATGCAGCCAGAACTACAAGTCCTGTTGGAGGCCAATAAATTGGCCGGCGTCCAGACTGCCCTCGTGGCAGTGTGGAATACACGACTTACCCCAGTGTTGTCATTGTCACGATGGTGTACCAGAATGCAGCTGGAATGGAAGTGAAGTTGGTCTCGTCCACATTCTTCTCGGCGTAGAACATGACGGTTGCGAAGATGATGATAGCCATGGCTAGCGAGAAGACGAGGAACCCGAGCTCGGAGGCGCAAGACTTGAGGGTGTAGCCCAGGATACGTAGGCCCTGAGAGTGCCTCGAAAACTTAAAAATTCGGAACACTCGGAACACCCTGAGAGTAACGAAGGCGCCGGATACGTCGTCGTTGTCGGTGATCCCGAGTCCGATGTAATAGGGCAAGATGGCAACCACATCGATAATGCTCATCACACTGCGGACAAATTTGCAACGGTCCGGAGCCGCGAAGAGCCGAAGCAGATATTCAGCAGTGAATATCATGACGCAGGCTGTGTCCAGGCAAAAGAACACGATCTTGTAACGTTCGCCGCATGGCAGGGTGCCGGCTCTGCCCGGACGGTGTCCGCAGGGAACAGTCTCCACCACGTTGGCCATTACGGACACGGCAATAAAGAAGCCAGTCACGTAGTAGAAAACAAGGGCTGCCGTGGATGTGTGCGGGTTCTCGAAGGCTCTCCACATCTTCTGACGGATGTTAGTTAGTTGCTGCAGGTTCTGGTCGCCGTTCTCGGACAGCTTGTCGTCCATGAGCCGTTCGGCGTTCTCTCGTTTCCGGTCACGGTAGTCTTCGTAACAGCAGTCGCCGATGACATCGGGAAGGATGCCAAAAAACGCCAACTCTTCATCGTAACTTGTCAAGCACTCGTGTTTTGGATAGTGAAGTTTCCCCGTGCGGTAGTAATTCAGAATATGGCGGAAGATATCAGGGTCGCGATCGAAAAAATATTCCTTGCATTCTTCGTCATAAAAGAACTCCCTCTCATTGGAACCTAGCAAAGTGTCTGGGTATTTTTCAAGGGTGTTTCGCCAGGTTTCGAACCGCCGTCCTGAAACGTTAATCAGTAATTTCTCGTCATCGGCTTTCCGACGATCTTTGGGAATAGGGGGTGGAGGCAGCGGGTGGGTGGCGATGGGAACCCAGCCGATGGCCGCCGCCCGGGCAAAGGGCAGCCAAGCGGCGACCGAGGCCATGCTGTGTGGTGGAATGTTCTTCTAGAGGCTGTAGGGTACAGGGACTGGATAATTCACCGGCTCCCGCACGCCACAAACAACACTACTCGGTCCATGTACATGTCACTAACACACTATTCCGGACCTGGTAGTTGGCACTAGCTATTTCCGTCGCACGGCCATCTTGCAACTCACTCGCCCACCCTCATGCTCGCCCTCTGCCAACTAAATTGATTTTTACCCGCGATTCTCCTCCACTCGTACCCGACAGAGCCACCTATCGACTTAGTTCCGAAACTGCCAGTTGCCAGGGCGACCGTGACGTAAGGCGTGTTGCGGACATGGCGAGAGTCTAATTGTCGCTGCCCTAAGACGATGCAATTCGTATTGCAAAAGGTGTCCCATTTGACAGTTCGATACCACACAATTCCTCTTCCTAAAATTCCATAAGTAATGATGTTAATGGAGGCACTCTGTCTATATTGATGATAAGGAAGTCGTGACTCACTTTTGTTGAGAATAAAAGAAGTATAACTCCCAGTGTAACACGCGGCGCAGTAAGAAACTCGTCTCTACACAGCAATGAGATTAAATAAATTATACATTCGGTAATTAAATACAGGGAGTCCCACGAGGAAAGGTCAATATTCTTGGAGGTCATAGTATCGGTCACCTTAAGCAAAAAAGTGTACATGTACATGTGTCCTGTTCCGAACGGTTTCGGAGATAGAGCTATTTCACTGTACAGTTCCAAACTTCTGATAAGAAAGCGATATTACGTACTGTTTCTAATACCGGTATTTAGTGTTCAAGTGACACAGTTGGTACAGTTCACCTAGTACAATATAGTATACCTAGTATAATACATTTTCGAAAATTCCACCGTCAACATCAATGCATTCTGCAATTCGTGTGAGGACATGCTCGTCTGTACAGGGTACAGTGTACTGTACAGTGAAATGGCTCTGTCCCGGAAACGGTTCGGAATAGCACACATATACTCATACACATTTTTGCTTAGAATGGCCGATACTGTGACCTCCCAGAATACTAACGTTCTTCCTGGGTATTTCGTACTACAAGCTGTAAACTGAAGCGCGACTTTAACCTTGCCATTAATCAAGAAACTGAAACAAACAAACAACCAACCCCCATTCAACAGAATCACTTTCTGCCCTGCACTGTCGGCTCTCCCAACAGAATGGGCATCATCGTCCGGAAGGGGGGGGGAGAAGTAAGCCTAGACTTCTGCCTCATAAATTAATGTTCTATGGATAAAACGTCTGTTCATCGAAACGATATTACATGATGGTCCACGCGTAATTCAGTTGATAAAGAGTTGTTATACAAACACATCAAAATGGTCCAGTCAGCCTACTGTAAACATTAATGGCGTTTCCCACACAAGAGTGTTTGTGGGGAAAAGAGCAAGGTTTGGGCAGATAAAAGCATAAAGTGTTTTATTGATTCTTCCCACCCCAGTCTCTTTAACAAAGAAACAGCCCGTCATAAACAAAGGAAGGTGTACTCTGCAGCATTCTGTATTCTTAGGAACAAACCGTTTATCTTCTATCAGATCATCTAGACAAGTTTCCAAACAAAAAGTTCGCTTGAGAGTATTATCTTCTGTGATGTGAGGCTTGTGATCCGATAAAAGTTCGACGTTTCGGGCTAACGCGTCGTGTTCATTTTCAGGGTCTATGTGTAAGTCAGCAACCAAGAGAAAATCAGTAAACTTCTCTGTTCGCTAATTCCACAACCATAATCTCAACCAGAAAATTTATGAACGCAATTTCCAGTAACGCACAAACAAGACTATACCTTCACTGCACCATGCACTTCATGGAATGAGGTTAAGAGTATACACCTGATGATGGCCGATAGAGGCCGAAACATGTAGTGTAGAAAGAACAAGATCAAAGACATATATATAAATATATATTGTTTGCACTTAGGACGGAGTTTGTATCATTTATTCATGGAATGATGTTTGCACAACTGGTCGCCTGTCACTTCTCACACCCTCGAACCCACCCCCTTGTCTGAAATTTTTCTTCTACGCATTCAAGGTTATTCTTGGCCTTGTTCGAAGTTACGTGACACTTGCTACAACAATTGTTACAATAAAAACGGGAGAGAAGCTAACCTACCCCTCTAATCGTAAAGGAGATCGGAATTGTAACAAGGGAGAAAGACAGCAAGGTCAAGAACATCACAGAAGAATGCAATAAAAATGTTAACAGTGTCGCGTGAAACAACGTCCCACGCCACAAAGGCATGTGGAGCCCAGCGGCGTTGAGTTAGTCTCAGAGGTGACTCATACAGTCGGGAACAGGAGACAGGTTTTGCTTTATCTTAAGGCTACTTAAAAACATCATTTTGAAGATAAAATTATAGTCATGGGGAGGGGGTGTGAGGATCTGCACTGCGTCCTTACTTGAAATAAATTTTGCTTTAATTACAGTTCAGCTGCTCATCTTGACAGTGTGAGTTTTTTTATCTTTATTCTAAAAGTAGTGAAGGCCCAATCGTGATCAATTTTCCTGTATAACTCTAAGAAATTCGAAAGTTCTTAAATGTTTAAAACTCTCTGTTTGGTAGCTTGCCTTATTATCATTTATGTAATCAACAGTCCTGACCGAGTGGTTAAGGCGTCTGATCAGAAATCAGGTTTCTTGTAGGGGCGTGGTTCGATTCCTACCGACTGCGGAGCGCGTTCTTTTTTATATTTTTCTCTTCTCCATAACGCCCAGAGCAGCCTCGAATCTAGAAACGGCTCCACACGCTACAATACTGTCTCCATCTTGAAAGTGGTATCAGGAAGTCGGCATCTATCTATAAGACTGCATGGTGTCACAAAGCAGAATACCACAATCTGAATGCATATCACTGTTCAAACCTCAAATCTCACATAAGAAAAAAGCTTGTCTTATTCGTTAGCTTTTGAAGAAAATCACATAGGAAAGGAACTTTAAATCCTGAGGAAAACTTAATCATGTGATAAGTTTCTATTTTAAAACAATATCAGAGCCATATTGTTTGTGTTTAATGGGCTTGTCCGTCATTCACATTTGTCACGGTTCACGGTTATAATAGTCAAACACAACCGCATATATTTATTTATATGACATAGACTTTCATATTTTTAATTCTGCCCGGCAGCTTTTCTCGGAATCTTTGCTTCAATAGGCGTACTAAAATAGTTTGGCCCACCATTGTCTGGAAGAAATTAGTCATTTTGCGCGTGTGGGCATGTCGTATATTAACTGTTGATGCGCTTTTAACTCTTTATGAAAATAAAGAAATGGATCGAACCTGTCTCAGAGATATTTCGGTCCTATTATTGAGCCTTCCAATGCGTCCAAGTCTAAAAACCTACTAAGCGACATTTTGTGGCCAAGAATGTTTTCACAGTGAACAGTTGGAGACTACCCATAACCCACCTGCTTTCCTCGTGGGGCCCTAGAGTGACTTACACAGATGCTCAAGAAATGCTTGCAAGGACTAATCAGCTACAAATTTGTGTACGTTTGATACAGGTAGAAATGAAACTTTAATACGTATGTGTAATGACGTCAGCAGAACAATACTGCTGGCATTAACAAAGGAGGTATTATCGGGATTAGCTGTTGAAAGTGCCTCACATCCCTAGTGTCATGACAGTCAATTCAGGCATTCAAGTAATATTAATGTTATTACCTCAGAAATTTGAGAGTTCTGCAGTGTTGGCAATGCTGATGGGGCAGGTTTATGAATTACACCGTTGATATGGCCCCTGATGGCACGATATACATACGAAGTTTTAGAACGATCGGTTCAAGAATTCAAATAAAATTAAAGTTATTACCTCAACAATTTGAAAGTCTAAAGTGTTAAGTCTTACTGACGGGAGGGATTTATGACCTATACTGACATGGCGTCAGGTGGCATGATGTATATGCCGGTTGCATGACGATCGGTACAGGCGTTCCGAGAGTGTCGGGGAGGAGATACAAACAGAGCAAAGAATTTCATAAATGTACTCTATTTTAAAAATGGGGAAAGTAGGCCATAAATTAAAGCACTGAATTTAAAATAATATCCCCCAAAATAATTAGGGCAANAAATAGAGGTAAAGGTATCCCTGTAACAGGACATGAAGGCCCATAGGGTTGCGAGACGTTGAGGCTCCCACATTTTCTAGACAATCGGCTCATAGATGGCGGTACGGTTGTCAGCCTTAAGGTCCGGCCGCACTTTACTCCCCAGGAAAATTATTGAATTAGTTCCTGGTACTCATTTCTGTTAGAGGCTGAGTCGACCCTAGGGCCGTAACGCGACTGGAAGGATTAGGTCAGTTGAAAGAATCCACTACAACGGGACTCGAACCCGCGACCTTCCGGCTTGTAGCATAGTGCCCCGCCCCATAATTCCATGCAGTCCGTTCAAATTCAACCGAGGCTTCAGAGAAATAGTTCTCTGCCGTATGCAGTGTTGCAGAGTAAGTCAACCAATAGATCAGCATGAAGCAGGCAGACAGCCCTTGAAAGCAGCGAACTCAGCCTCTCTTCTCGTGTCTCCTGCTGGTTCTCTCTTGGAGCCTCGCACTGCTGCGTAATCCCAAGTTTTCGGAAGCCACGTGCTCAGTGTGAGGTAGCACGTTATAAAGTAAATATGTCAGGGCGTGATCGATTCTGACAGAGCTGGTCGGAATTTCAGTTTCAGATTTCAGGAGGGGTAGAAAGGTTCCAGAGAGAGAAGCTAATTTAGGTAAGATTCCGGACTTGTGTATGATAGCGTTGATTTCTGTGTGTCTGCGTGTGTGTGAGACAGTTGTAAAGGAACTCCTAACAGTCCATCGGCAAAAAGGTACAAGAGCAGGAACAATGGTTGCTTTAGTGATAAAACCGTTGTAGGGAGAACATAAAGACATCATTGAAAGGTACCCGGAGGCTGACCTTTAGCTCAAGCAGATTTAGGATGTGCCGAGTGCCACTGTAAGCCTGGCAGAGGTGTACACCTGCTGTACTGGAGAAAGGTGCAGAATGGCAAGAGGCTATGAACAGTGCCAAGAACAAGACGCAACTGCGCAACTTTCTGCAGGGGAAGAGATTGTACAGTATCCTGTATGATATGTACGCGGTTGCTTTAGTCTAACTGACGAGCATCTTGCAACGGCTCGCATCGGAACACAGCCACTCCCGTAATACCCCCACCACCAAACGGAAACAC